TTTGTAACGGTTGATTTGGCAACTTTTAGCGATTTTGCCAACTTTGCGTGCGAGTAGCTCGGATTTTCGCGATGCGCGAGCAAAATTTTGATACGCTGCTCTTCTTGCTTGGACGGCATTTTGACAACTGAAGAGTGAATTCCAAAATCAAAATAGGAGCAACATTCTACACACACACACCTTCAAAATGAGGGGTGTTCAGGTTTTTTAAATGCAAAATTGAAAGAAATACGTCAAGTTGATATTGACCAAATTTTGACCGTATCACCCTTTAATTCGACGAAGACGGCAGGAAACATTTGTAAGGCCGAGTTATTTACGAAAGAGAGTGTCGATGAAGAGAATCGATCAATGTAGATAGGACCTATTGAAAAGTGGCGCGAGATTTGTTTTCCGTACTGAGCTCCAATGCTACCGACGCCAGGGAGGCAGCTCCCACACCTGAACCACAGACAAACAGACGTAACTCTTTGAAAAACTTGTTCTTGAAAACATAGTATCTCAAAACATATAACCTCAGTAACGACATCTCTCTGGCTTCTCGCGGAAAACAAGCTTGCTCGCTAACTCGTAAGGGATGGTCCATTAATTATGTCACACAAATTTGGCGCATTTTCAACCCCCCCTACCCCCTTTGTCACATTTTTTGTATGAACCTTAATTTTTTTTGTATGGCTCGTCACATTTTTCAAAACCCCCCCTCCCCCCTAAATGTGTGACATAATTAATGGACGACCCCTAAACAATATTGCATAAAAGTTCTATAGAATATATAGAAACGTCAAAGTGTTCCGATGCCAGCGCTGCGGCGAGTAGTTCGCGGAACTGATAATATTCAAATCAACCGTTAAATGCATGAACGAAGATACACAATGAAGAGTTACGTCTGTTTGTCTGTGCCTGAACCCTACCAATCGACCCATCAACTCAACCGGGGACCAACGGCTTTACTTCCCGAAGGAAGGCGTGATCAGAGATTTTATGCCTTAGAACATGCCGGTGGCGCCGACTGTGATTGAACTCAGGCCTGCTGGGATGAGAGGTAATAACGCTAACCACCGGCGCCGATATCTTTCATGGTGATATCACGGCGAATGAGATTGACCCAAATTTGAGTTTAGTTATCTCAGATATATGAAATAAAGTGCAGGAACTCAGCGATGACTAAATTTGCCTCATGTTTTCCCAGGTTTTTCCAGGATTTTCCAGGGAAAAAATCCCGAATTTGAGAAGTAAAGATTGGATTCACTCAGTCGATTGGTACTACTCCGGGACTGAATAAAATTTTCGTCGATTTCCTCATTTTCTGGCAGATTTTTTAGGTTTTCCTTAGAAAACCATGAGACAAATTTACTCATCGCTGGGTTCCTGCACTTTTGGCGATTATGAGTGAACTAAACTCAAATTTGGGTCGTTCTTATTCGCCGTGTACGCAAAAGGAAAAGAGCCAGTGTCGCTACTTGATAGCAAACTACTCATAATGGGAGGAGTCTTTGTAGCTTTTATACCACTTGGTTGCACATCATTCTGCTTTAACCTGAAAAGATATAAAAGAGCGCTGCTGTATGACATTAGCTCATTTTCGCTTCGGACGGCGTGGTGAACAGCAATAGCAGCAGTAGAAAGGTGGTGGCTAGTCCACTCCTTCACACCTAACAAGCAACAATTGACTGGTCGGTGTCAAACGTGTCTCCAGCCATCGATGTCGTCTACGCTTTGAAGTGACAGACGAACTCTGTACAGCTTCGGAGGTTAAATCATCATCAACTTTGGCAACAAAACGGCTCTTTTCAGGGTCTTTAAGCTTACATCAGTAAAGAGTTGGAATAGATTTTATCTGTGCTTGATTGTCCATATTCAGAAGCACAAGCCCCCAACGACCACACAAAATGCTCTCCAGAGTTGTAATCTTGTAACCAAACTTGGAAGCAGGTGTGCAAGTGATTTTGATTGATTATCTTAATCAACTTTCTCTTTGAAAAAAATTACTACAAATTTGGTATGCCTACAATTCAACAACGGAAAGAGTTGAGATAATAGATAATGGATCAATTAAAAGAACTAAATGCTCTTCACATTTATTCCGTCCACTAGCGGTCCTACGTCAAGCTTCCGTTCGTGCTCCTAGGCACAGACTCTTCTACTTTTTAACTATCTGTGTGCTTAAAGTAAGTGGGAATGTCTTTACATGGCCGTGGGGGTGCAAAGAGAAAATCGACGAAGAGAATCTGTCAATGTTACTTTGGACCTAATGCAATGTTCAGCTTGAGTTGAGTTGATTGTTGATTGATTGATTGACTTTCAATTTACATCTCCATTAGATAGAAGATTGTGGTCTTTGGCAAATTGGCTCAGATGGATAATTTGTCGAGCAGCGCCGGTGGTGTAGTGGTAAGCGTGATTTCATTACTTCATTATGGTGGCTACCAAGCCTTTGGGATTTTCCTTATTAGAGAGTTGCATAGATTTTTCTCCTTTAGTTTACTTAAATCTTTGGTTTTTATTAGTTAGGTAGGTTCCGATTCAACACATTGTAGTTTCATTTTTATACCTGTGATCTTGACTTTTTTTTCTTTAAGGGGTTAGATTTTGATAAGTTCTTTAGTGGGAATGACACTGATGAAGACTGCACATAGTAGTCGAAATACGTATCTGTCATGGATACCAAAATTAATTAAATGGAATTAAATGGAAGATAACCTTTTTTGCTGTTTTATTTAAGCATTCCGCTAACAACAAGTAACTTCATTACTTTATCGTAATTTACCATTTTTTGGTTAAAAGTTTACACATGTAGGTAAAAAACTACAAGGACATCCCTATGGGGTTGTACGCAATGCTGACGTAGAACTACGTGGTCTTATATAATAAATCTTATTTGTCAACTGCAGCAGGAGCTTGTGTTTTTTGTAGGAATCAGAATTTGAGTGGGGTTCTCTCTGTTTATACTCTTTAGTATGATGCGCTTGACATAGATGGCCCACAGCGACTCACGAAAAACTACTGATTCCGATCAATAGCGGTGTGGCTTCTTCCTCCTTCTATGGACGCTCATGTGGGCTGCAACTCGCTGCTTGCAGGCAGCATTTCGTTGTGTATAGGGTGATTGAATAAGCACCATTTGGTGAGACCAGATGGCATTCAACTTTGAAATCTGTGTGAGGGAAATCGCTATTCGCAGGCATAGCAAAAGTTGCACATTCGTAAAATTTTCAACAGTGACATTTTGAAAAATTATAAGCTTTTAGATTCATCAGATGCGTTTATTTCTGAACGATTGGTGAAAAATTTATTGAAATTGGTCCAGGGGCAGCTGAGTTATTAACGTTCAAAATCTTTCATAATTTTGTTACACGTTCCCTTTTTGGTTTTCACAAAGAGTACCCCCATATAGAAATCACAGACGTATTCGTTCGTCAAAAATCATGAAATGCTGAGACCCTCCAGCCCAAACCTGTCCAAAAATTAAAAAAAAAATACAATATCTTAACAGCAAGCATGCATAAGGGCGTATACCCGATGATCGATTCTCTTCATCGATTTCCTCTTTGCATTGCTACAGCTAAGCGATATAATTTTCTAGAAATTTGTTCAATGCAGAGTTGTAACAGGTTGTATTGGCTATCAAAATCAACAGCAAACGCACCGAGAATTGTTAATTCTAGCGACGAAGAGAAGCGATCATCGCATTTACGTCCTTATTCATGTTCACTGTCGATCTTTCTTCAGTAATATGGGTGGATATCGAGTTTGTGGAGTTCCTCAAAATGGGTTGCAATGAACAAAAGTTTCGCAGTATTGTGGTTTTCAGCACATTTCGTTCCCCTAAATTGATTCGTCTAGTCTTCCCTCGCCAAGTATTCCATTTAATTGTTATTCAATCTATGACGCTTGCCCAAAACATTCACCGTTTCAGTTTGATACACAACCTACAACGCTTATGGGCTCCAAACAATATGAGTGCTTGCAAAATTCCCAACAACTGTTTCAAATCTAGATCAACAATCGACTGCCTGTTGAAACCGGTTTGGCGAAAAACCATTCAAAATATGATTCGATTCCAAAACAACTTCGGTATTTTCCATTCAATCAACTTCACAAATTCGAAGCTCCCCTTCTCACAGACACAAAGAAACATCTCATCCTTCAGCTTTATTCCCTCAAGTACCCGCTTGCCAGGCATTAGAAAGCTGATCATCTTTCCAATCAAATATGTATGAGGAAGCAATAATGCTTGCGAGGAAAGCATGGATCTGCGGATGGACGAAAAGGAATCATCACTGTCGGGTACGACTGCTGCAGTGCAAGCAGCAAATCCCCATTCCGGGACTCTGTGCATGCAATTTTGATTGCACCGTAGCTGGCTGTTACATCGCCGCGCACTGAATGAACTGACTGAGGAGGAAGTCGGGAGCTGAAGGCAAGTTTGTTTCCTTCCACGTCTTCTTTTAGCAACTCACTCTCAAAAAAAAAGCTTTCAAATAGTTTCCATTTCCAACATGAAACTGCATGAATGATTCCCTTAGAGGCGCTTTCCCATCGCCATTGTGCGAGGGAAAGTGTAGAAAATGTGTGTGTGTGTGTACAAGTGTGCTTGCTATGGAGCTTCAATCTTGAGGAAAAAAAAGCAAATCCTTTTGCTCCATTTCCACTTCCATTTAGATGATGACAGGGTGGTACCCGATAGATGCAGACCAACGCCCAGCACCGGTGCAATGAGGGAGAAAATGTTTGTTTTAATTTGCAAAGTGCTCAAAATGGTCCTCGGCACCCCTGGCATAACTAACTGCTGACTTAAAACTAATATTTTCCTAAAAACCTGCAAATGCAGAAAACGATAAACCCAGCACCGACCGACCGGTTTCTCTAATACGTACAAACAGTCAATGGAAATGCACAACCAAGTATCCTCAGAAGCACTTTTCGGTTGAATCACCAGAGCCAAGGTGGACATTTTTGCTGATGCTAGGAAAATTTCAAGACGACGCAGAATTGCTTACCTGTCTATTGATATTGCCACTAGATTAAATATAGACGACGTTGAGCATATCACATCCATTGCTATGTAGAAATCACAAACGAAATTTGGCAACGTCCATGCGCCGTTCACCTGAAAGAAAGAGAGAGAACGAGGAGGAAAATTAAATACGATTAGAAATAAGTGGTGGTGATTTTTTAATAAATCAAGGGTGTCCCACATCAAATTGAATCACGGAAAAAACGCTATAGAAAATTACCTACTATCTAGATAGAGCTAGAATTAGGGCGTAACAGCTTTTGTAAACAATGACTTCTATTGATGATTTCTAGGAATTAAAGGCACGTCTACGCAGACCAGCCTAATCATCGGATAGGGGAAGCCTTTCCCTACCCGATGAGGATGTTGGTTTGCTTGGGCGAGCATTGAATTTCTAGAATTCATCAAGAGAAGTCATTGTTTACAAAATCTGTTACGCCCTAATTCCAGCTCTATCTAGAGTTGACCGATCCTTTTCAAACTTTCAGACAATAACCCATTTATTTCATTCAACTTCAATACCATATACGCTTAACTCCACTCATTAGGTTCTGTGCAACATCTGGATGCAGCTTCTTCTGTACGGAAACCCACTTTTTCTTCATGTCTTCCTCAGATTTGACCTCTTTGGGATGCTTCCATAGTGCCTGCTTCATAATAGCCCAGTATTGTTCGATGGGCCTTAGTTCCGGTGCGATGGGGAGGTTCCTGTCCTTGGGTGCGAAACAAGATTCAAGATTTGAATAGTTCCACGAGGCTAGATCCAGCCAGAAGATCGATTCAAACCGTAAAGGCTGTCGAAAATCCGACCTTTCCAGAATCTTCCGCTTGTTCTTTGTCCCGCGTGCGCTTTCCTGACGTACAGTTTCCCGTGTTCTGGAAATGTTCTGAGGCTTAACATCTCTGATCACGTCTTCCTTCGGGAGGGAAGTAAAGCCGTTGGTCCCCGGTTCATGAGTTGATGGGTCGATAGGTAGGGTCCAGGTGTGGGAGCTGACTCCTTGGCGTCTGTAGCATTGGTTCCCAGCACGAAAAACAAGATCAACGAAAAAAAAAAATCGAGGAAAAAAAAGTTGGATTCTTGATGACTGGCTCAATTTTCACGACCTCTTCGTTTCGCTCGAGTTGTCCAACATTCAGGTCTTTGGCTGGCGACGCTCTAAAACTGGTACAAACCATTCCGATTAGCGCTAATAATTATAACGTCGCTTGGAATTTGCTGGTGGACCACTTCCAGAATGCTGCTTGCTTAAAGCTGTCCCACCTCGAAACCCTTTTCGAGTTCCCTTCACTCAAACGTGAGTCTGCAGCTGACCCGCTGGAGTTTGAAGCCAACGTCAAGGTCCTAAAGCAGCTTAGAGAGAAGACCGAGTACTGGGACATCGTCCTCATCCGAATGCCGAGTATCCGTTTAGATCCTACCACTCGACGAGACTGGGATTCCGTTGCCTTCAAAGACCTGTACGTCGTTTCTTCATCGGAGGGTAACTATTCTCCAAACTATCCAAGGGAAACCCGTAGAAGCTCCAGCGTCCACTCAGCCGTTCAAGAAGCCCATTCAACGTTAGATTACCAGTAATAGGGCTAGCCGAATCAACTCCACTGGGAATTACCTCATCTATTTCGATCATCCTCTGCTGTTTTTGTGTCCGTCGTTCACCAAACTCGAGTTCGAGGAGAAAGAGAGGGAAGTTCGCCGACATCAGCTCTGCCATAACTGCCTTGTAACCAGTGGTGTGTCTGTCTGTCTGAGATTAGTGAGATAGTCGCGATTAGTGTTTCGTATTTTATGTATAACAATATGCCAAGGAAAGATTTGAATACAAGCCACCAACACCACCCATCGCCCACAAAATCATCCACTGGACAGTACGTAGCCTCACCACTAAACCACATTAAGTTCCTCCATCTACCACCAGATGGAACTGGTAACTAGATTTGGAAGCCATAATGGGGGCCATGATGAGGCAAAATAAAGCGGAAGGACGGTGGCTCGTCGAGGAGGAGGGAGAATAGGTTAGCCGCCATCGTTGAAAATCATTTGCTTGGCGATACTTCGTAAATTATAAGTTAGCAATTTTGAAATTCAATAAGAACCGTGAGGACGGAAAAGAAGTGAAGAAGGATAGTGAGGTGCAGAACCATGCAGGTAAAATTCTCTCCTAGAGGAACACCTTCTCGATCGTCAATAACCGCCATCGTGGATACCCCATTGTGTCCACAGGACCCCGTAGTTTACCGCTGGAAATTCATCCACGGCGTGGTCAGACCCCGTAGTGTTCGTCATTAGGCATACGGCGTGGTTAGACTCCGATCATCTTGCGATACTAAGGTATCCGGAATACTCACAAAACGGCCCATCGAGAGAGAGAGATGCTCTTCGTGGAAAGTCCCAAAGTACGTGACCGGCTTGAGAACCAAGTCGAGGGTTCAAAAAACGGAGTGTGAATAGTGAAGAAAAGTAACCAGAAGGAAGCTGAGAAAGGTGAAGCAGTGGCTGCGGAAGAACCGTTAGATGAAACCAGGTAAGAGATAGACAATAAGGAAGTGGGAAGAAAATAGGTACCTTTAGACAAACGAGAAATACAGTGGGAGTTTGTTGTGTGTGCCGTATATTTGAGTATTTCCTTGGCCGCGATATTTAAGCGCGCATGCCGACCCTGAGGCAGTGTAGAAAGGTGTCTCAGTAGTGCTGGGCAGGGAGTACCCCACCTGTTACAGCCTAGCTACGCTCGGGACTGTTCAGCGGCTAGCTCTTGCCGAAAATTCCGAGGCCGACGTCATACTCAGCTCTACTCCCGGGAAAATTCAGTTGTTGTATACTCTTGAACTACCGAATCTTCCCACTCTGAGGCTCCAAACGCTTCTACGTCTGGAGAACAACCTGTAACTGTATCAGCTGCCATTTGCGGACCAGCCAGCTACGTTAGCACCGGACAGGCTCAGAACAACGTACAGTCAAGATTCTTATTGCACGGTTAATAGAGACTGCATAATAGGAACCGGCATTAACAAATACAAGTAGCATATGGGATTAGAGCTAATTGGGGACAAACACTTAACTAATGAAGAGTAATTTGAAGAGATAACTTCCTGGTGTCTCCTGAAAAGTTACTAACAAAATCCTTTTGGGAAAATTTTGCATCCGGAAAGTCAGAGGTCTGGTCCTCCGGAAGACCCGGAGCTTCCATAAAAGTGGTAAATTCATGAAACTGATCCTAGAGTTCCCTGTGTTTTAGAAACCGCTCATAGACGTCTTATTCCAATTAATCCAGAGTTTTTTTTTTTGAAATTTGAATTTGGACTCTGGGGACTATAGAATGGTCCACCGGACGATCCGGAACATCCGTAAATGTGGTAAATTCATGAAACTGATCCTGTAGCTCCATAGTTTTTTTTTTTTCAAAATCACTCTTGGACGTCTTATCAGAATGAATTCGAAATTGTGACCGAAATATGAGTCCTGGAGACCACGGGATGGTTCACTGACAGATCCGGAACATCCGTAAAGGTGGTCAATTAAGCACACTGATCCTAGAGCTCCGTGGTTTTTTCGAAACCGCTCATAGAAGTTTTATCAGAATAAATTCGGAGTTATGACCGGAACTTGGATGCTGGGGACTCCGAGATGGTCTACCGGAAGATCCGGATCATCCGTAAAAGAGGTTAATTCAAGAAACTGAGCCTAGAGCTCCGTGTTATTTCAAAACCATTCATAGAAGTCTTATTACAATTAATTCGGAGCTATAACCGGAATTTGGACCCTGGACGGTTCACCGAAAGATCCGAAACATCCGTTTTCAAAACCACTCATAACCGTTGTATCAGTAAGAATTCGGAGTTGTGATCGGAATATGAACCCTGGGGGCCACTTACTATCAACCAATAGATCCAGAACATTCTTAAAAAGGGTCAATTCATGAAACTGATCCTATTGCTCCACGGATTTGTTGATTTGTCGAAACCACTCATAGACGTCTCATCAGAGTTAATTCTGAGTTGTGACCGGAACCACGGGATGGTCGACCGAAATATCCGGAACATCCGTAAAACTGGCAAATTAAAGAAACTGACCTTATCGTTTCGTGGTTTGTTCTAAACCACCCATAGACGTCTTATAAGAATTAATTCGGAATTGTGACTGGAATATGAATGCTGCGAACCACGGGATGGTTCATCTCTCGAACCGGAACATCAGTGAAAGTGATCAATTAATGAAACTGATCCTAGAACTCCATTTTTTTTTTTTCAAAACCATTCATTGACATCTTATCAATATGAATTCGGAGTTGTGATCGGAAATGACCCTTCAGAAGATCCAAATCAGCCCTACAAGAGGTAAATTCATGAAACTGATTTTAGAGCTCTTCTGATTTTTCGAAATCACTCATACTTGTCTCATCAGTATAAAATGGGAGTTGTGATTGGAGAGTTGACCATTTGAACCACGAAATGGTTCACCAGTAAGATTCGGAACATCCATAAATTGTTCAGTTCTTGAAACTGAGCTTAGAGGTCCGTTTTTTTTCAAATCCACTTATTGGGGTCATCTGCTTCATCAGCATGAATTTGTAGTTATGACCAGAAAATTGACCCTGAGGACCAGTGCACAATGATCCCAAAGCCGTATTTAGGAATACAAAAATATTCACGCGCAAACCATCACTTTTTCGGTCAATCTTTTTATGATAGTGAAATTAGGGTGGTGTTTAAAATTGGTAAATTGAAAATACAAACTTTTTTTTTCGATTATTTGAGATCGACCAATGCAGTGTTCAAAAAAGTTGTAGAACAATCAATTTTAAGCAATTGTGATGAAGACATTGAATTTCTATCTCTTATGGTTCATGAGGTATGATTATTTTAAACAAGGAGGTTAGGGTGGCCCCTAGAAAATCAGCTTTCTTTAAATATCTTTTAATTCGTTTATTTCTCGTAGAAAGTTTGTTAGAGCTTTTCCTTTTTTTATTTTTTTTTTTTACTTTTTAGACGTATATTTTTGCTCAAGCAACTAAGTTTAAATGGGGAAACGGCTCTAATTTTGGCCTATGGATCTAACATTGGGCTTATCGCTAAAAATCTGCTATTGATCA